TTTTGGAGCAATTAATGCATATTTGATTTATCTATAGTCCATCTCTGATACGCTTGTGATTCAAAGGCCTGGCATTGTTGTGGAGGCCTTTGAAATTTGCTTTGATGATGTGTGTCTTGTCCTTTTACACTTCTTCGCCACGAACTTCACTACAAAGTATCAGCGTATCAAAACATTACGGAAGCGAGCAAAGTTGTCGAATTCTCGGACTTCACATTAGCGCAGTCACCATTGATTATTTTACCACACACCGCTATTTCACGTAATCGTCGTTCAAGCGATATATTTACAAAACAACTCGATCTTTTCTTGTTTGGTGAAGTTTTCAATGTGACTTCCTGTTTCAAGATTGCCCCAGATATGAAATACATCAGATAAATGTAGTTACCATAGCAACCACAAAAATCCACTTCTCATTTACATAACAAAACTAGGTAAAAACATGACATCAAAGGTGAACCTACAGTAGCCTTAGTAGTTTTTCATGCAATGTTTTGTCATGAGATTTAGGTAAACTTTATATACGGTACATATTTAAACAAGTTTCTTTCCCACTGAATAAAAAAAAAAACACAAAAAGGTAACTTGTCACTTTAATCAGTGAGTTTTTTGAGGACATTTTGAATCAGTGAGACATGAGGCCAAAATCAAGGTCCTAAAAACACTATATGTATCACTGGAAGCTGAAGCCCCACAAGACAAGATTATCATGTTTTTATTTGGCCTTCATTGTCAACTCAATCCCATATCTCCTCGTCTTTGAAAGCCGCTTTGACATTGCAATATCCCAACACGTTCATTTCCGCTGTTTTTTTTTTGTGTGGCGCTACCTTGATCCAGTCCTTTTGTGCTACAAAACCCTTTCAGTGGCCCGGAGATGGCTCCAAGGCTTTGCACACACACAGAAAGCCAGCGCTGCCTTCCCATTGGTCAGCTCACGGCAACTCATTGATCACACAGAATCAATATGGCCCACTATTGTTTTGGAGGACTCCTGCTGCGGACGCGCTCGTTAGCCATGGAAATATGTCAAGATGAAATACTTTGCAATGTTATGAGTTATTAGGTCGGTGCAAAAAACGCTTCTGTGAAAAGGCTGCTTTTTGGACCCAAACCTGTTTTACAAAGCATTAAGGGATGATTGTATTTAAGTAATCTTTATTTATAAAGCACATTTTTACAGACAAATGTTACCCATAGCGCTTTACAATGTTCAGAGTTCAGATATTTCCATTCACAGTGATGACAGAAGCGAGACGCCAAAAAAGCCCCAGCCAACACCATCCATTCATATTGTTCTATTTTTAGTGGTAGAGGAAACGTAACACCTGGAGGAAACCTACGCAGACACGGTGAGAGCATGTAAACTCCTCAGAAAGGCCCTGTTCCGACCGGGATTCGAACCCAGGACCTTCTTTATGAGAGACGAGAGTGCAATCCACCCCGTTGTAATGTGGGTCCTACTCGTTGGGCAAGTTCTATAACTGCTGAAGAAATTACTGTTTGTAATCTTCCTTGAGCTTTGCAACTTGAGGCTGGGGTACTTGACTATCAAACAAACACAAAAGTATTAAAATATGTCTAACTTGTTCCTCGCTCTCAATACAGATTGTTCTCTCACTATTTTTTTTTTTTTTTCAGATGAGTTTCAGTTTTCATGTATTGTTTTTTTCAAGATGGATACCGTATGTGTACACTTTTGTTTTTTGCTGGGATATTTTTAGAAAGTGACCCCTGTGAAAACGAGCTTGGCCGCTATAAATTGCGCAGTATATTGACTTTGAGAAATGAAACTGGACCACATTCCTCTTGAATTTTTTTAAAATCTTATCTAGTACATGCTATTTCTGATGGTTTTGTTTTGTTTCTAATATGGAAATTAACGAGCAAAAAGTTACACCAAAAAGTTACACCGTGAATAAACGTGATGCCATTTTTGTGTTCTTTCCTGCCCCCAAGCTTGATCTTTACAAATGTGAACTCATGTGTTCACCTTGTGCAATCCTCGGATCAAATTGACCCACCACAGTCATTAAAAAATACCTTAAGTATCTTTCATTCTGGCTGGATTTTGTTGATTTTTCATAACTTGACCAACTCTGGATCATTTATTTATTTATTTGATCGGGACAACACACATTAATGAACAATCATATACAAGTTGTACACAAATTGTAAATGTGCAAGATTGTAGCAAAACTGCTAACTTACATCCGTAGTCCCGAGGCAGGTCTGATATGCGCAGGACGGATTTACATTAAAATGGTGTTTTAGTTGTTTTTTAAAAGAGCTATCTGTTGGGCATTCTCTTATGTCTGTCGAAAGGTTGTTCCAAGACTGACCTCCTCTGGCCGACAGCACAGTTTGTCCAAATGTAGTTTTTCTGAGTGGGATCTCCACATCTCCTCTAGAGGACGCTCTGGTGCGGAGACCTGTCACTGCTTTACCTTTGATGTAGTTTGAGAGTCGGCGCGGGGCGAGACCATGAAGTGCTTTATAAATAAAGCAACAGTTTTTAAAATTAATAAAGTTTTGAAAATTGAGCATTTTGTGTTTCCCCAGGATTTTGCAGTGATGATATGACCAAGGCTTTTGATCCAGAATTGTAATGGATTTTTTGAAGAGGGTTTCTATGGATTTGATATTTGTTTTTCCAGTGAGTGACCAGGTTGTTATACAGTAATCTATGTGTAAGAAAATCATTGCGTGTAGGAACATTTTTGCTGGATTTATTGTCATAAAAGGCCTGAATTATTTGAAGTTATGTAAATTGAACTTTATTTTATTAGCTGTGAGTTTAATATGTTTTTTGAAGGAGAAAGTTGAATACAGACTGACCCTGAGAAACTTGAACTCCTCAACAAGGTCAAGCTCAGTGTCTCCAAGGACCTTGTTGGACCGACCCAGTTTAATAGATTTTTTTCCGCGGGTCCCCGCTTCGCCCTGTCGGTACTTATTTTCCGATAATGACCTGCGTAATATACGTTATCCCTTACGTATATGTTCTGAGGGGAATCATCTATTTAGGGAATGCACAGGCAAAAATGTGTTTTGTGGCCGTTAGAATTGTGGGAAATAAAAAGTGTTGGACTTGCAGTTTAACGGTATATTTATGTCTTATAGATTTAAATATGTCTACATTAGCACATTTCTATTGCATTATACATGACACAAGCTATTGTGTATTTGAGTCCATCTCTATATGAGTTTGTTTAATCTTGTGTTTCAAGCTGTGACCATAGTCCATAATTTTTGCATTTATTCAATTGAAAATAAATATTACAAGCCCCAGCACAAATCAAGGTCCAATCTTTTTTTCCTGAGGACCATGTACGCCATTCATATTTGAGGCTTTCACCTTTTTATAAAAGATTCTCGCTCTGCATACTCTCGGTCAGTTGCCATGGTGACGTAACAGGGGAGCCGAGGCCATGTGAAGCAATTGGTGCACCGTGATAAATGCAACTGTTTACGGCCGCGCCCTGGAGCTGCAGGACCTTAGGATGGAGCGCTTTCTTGGCTTTAACACTCCTATTGCATGTACGACGTTTATAGTAAAAGTGACTGTGATGGCAGAGTTGTTAATATACTCCACTTGTGTTAGTAGGTGCAGGGAAATAAGGTTATCTAAGGCCGACACAAATGGATTTCTCACACAAATATCCCTATCCTAATGTGCACGTCTGCTTAGCTCGGGAATGCCCTACAAATAATATCATACAATGCAACTTATTTTTGTATAGCCCTAATTACACATAGATTGTATTATAAGCGTTAAATGGATCTTCTATATCCAGAAATTCAGAATAATGTCCTTTTGGTGATAAATAAGCCTGGTTTATCAATAAAGGCTGATGTTACTGAGGGCAATCAGACAAGGCAAGCTGAGATGAATTCAAAGTTTGAAAGTGGACGTAACATGCTGCTTTTCCTTTTCGTTTCTGCACACTACTCTGAATGACTTTTTGCTGTTCAATCAAATGCAACCAGACACATCTTCGAAATGGTTAGCGATCCAGACCCTCATGTATTTTAGAGCCATTGTAAAATAGTGTGGCTGTGGCTGCTCAGGCTAGAATACAGTGGAGCTCATGTGCCAAAGTGTATTTCTTCAAGAGTATTTATGATAACACAAAAACCTCCAATCTGCCAACACAAACACGCACATAGACACAGATGATCACAATATGATAAGCCACCCCCATCATGAATAACACCTCCCACCCACTGCACAGGACTGTAGAGGAGCTAAGGAGCTCCTTCAGTGGAAGACTGAGGCACCCTCAGTGTAGGAAGGAGCCCTACCGCAGGGCCTTTATCCCCACCGCTGTCAGACTGTAAAACAAGTCACTTTAAGTCACTGCATTAAGACTGAAAAAACCTGCACTACTATTGACACTGTTTCTGATTGGCACTTAAATTGACACTTTTTTATTGTACATAATATATCCTGCGTTTAACATGTTTGCACATTTCTTTCTTTGCACAATCTTGAGTGTTTCTATCCATGCCAGATGTGACATGTACATTTCTCCTTTGTGAGATAAAGCATATCTTATCTTAACCATCAACTGTGAGGGGTAACTAAACTAATTAACTTATGCAAGTGCCACCCCGCATGTGAAAAGCCTGATCCAGGTAGACCCCATAAGGCAGAGCAAAGTTGGGTAAAGTCTGGTTAGTACTGTGATGGGAGACCTCTGGGAACACCAGGTGCCACAGTGGGGCGGCTGCAGCTGTAAAGTGCCAAACTGTCATCGTGTCCTTAGGCAAGACACTTCACCCCCATTGCCTAGAATGAGTCTGGTGTGTGTCTGTGAATGGTTGGTGGTGGTCGGAGGGGCCGATGGCACATACTGGTTGCCTCGCAGGGCAGCTGTGGCTACAGTAGTAGTTTATTACCACGGATAAACCACCACCGTGAATGAATAATGACATGTAAAGCGTCTTCTGTATCTGTTCTTTCTCACATAAACCAAATAATAATAATCTTTGTCCAGTTCAACACGCGTGTGAAGAAGACGGCGTGTTTCGACCACCTGGTGCAGGCCAACGTCCGCAACAAGAAGCTTCTGAAGGACGCGGTGCAGAACATCTCAGCCAAGGGCATCACCAACTATACCAAAGGCTTTGAGTTCGCCTTCCAGCAGCTCTCCATCGTACGTCCTCACACATGCTGATCCTACCACTCTCTTCCTACCACATTTTCCTCTTAACACTGGAACCCCCAGAGCAGTCCATTTGACGGCTTGTGTAATACTCATCTCATTTACTTTCTTGGTCTTCATAGCTTTTTCTGTTTCTATGTATTTCTATGTTTTTTTTTTTTTAATTTATGAAATTATTTTATAATTTGGAAATGTGAGTAGTGCTACCTTTACCTCATGTCAAACCAGAGATTATCAAGTCCTAGTTACCATAGCAACACACTTTACTGTCAGAAGTTAGCATTAGCCTTTAGTTTTAGTACTTATTCCTTGTGAGTAAAAGTAAAACCCGTATAAATTACTTACTTTAGATGAATCTGGTTAAAAAAGAAAAAGAAAAATTGCAGCATTTTCTCAGAATTCCATTCCAATTCTCAATAGCTTCTTTGGGCTTTTGTGAGAAACATTGGACATGCCTGTTTTAACATTAGGATTGCCAGAATTAGGAAACTCTACAACTCCCTGAGCTGTCATTTGACTGCTCCCGTTCATATATATATATATATATTGGGTTTTTTTTCAAACAATTTAATCCCACCCCTTTAATCTCCTTCATGCATTCTGGAGAAAATGGATCATAGTCATAAAAGGGTTCAATGTCACCTTAATTTTTTTGTTAAACAATTCCAGAAATGGGAAAATTACATCAGAACAGAGGGCTTCGGGGATAAAAAAATAAAATAAAATAAAATAAAAAATATTTGGAACAAAAGTGAGGGATTAGGTGCTCTTTGAGGATCAGTGGGGAGATAAAATGAAGCAGAGGAAAAAGCAATTGTTATCAAATCCAGCGTTTGCTTCTTGTCAGGGCAGACAAACTCACCGACATTCTTCAGGGCATAAGAGATGGAGATGCAAACTGGTCCTATACTGCCATCTGGCTGTGAGTGTGGAAACATACTCAGGTTATCTCAGGTCCCATTGAACACTTGACAAAACGGAATGGATGAAATGTCTGTCCATATGTGACAACAACCAAAATACTTTTACACATTTGCTTTATGTGTATTAATGCATTTGTTGCTGTTGTTGTTGTTTGTCTGGATGGCATTATACATTTAACCAAACTGGCATTTTAAAAGGTCTTGAATTTCCAGGAGCTTCCATGTCTCACAGAAGGTCGCTTTTAAAGGACAGGACAGTGGCTTTTTTCTGAATTGGGAGGCAGCCCAAATGTTTCGCCCTTCTCATCCGTGTGATGTCATGTTTCACCACAGACCAATGTGACCCGAGCAAACTGCAACAAGATCATCATGCTGTTCACGGACGGAGGAGAGGAGCGAGCCCAGGCCATTCTGCAGAGGTACAACGCAGACAAGAAGGTACTGCCACCAGACGCCAGGTCCACTCACTCCCCACCCCCTGCCTGGGGTCAGGACTCACTTTAAAGAGGTTCTGAAATCTTAGTGGGACTTTCTAGCTTAAATGAAAGTCAATCAACACCAGTGCACAGCATTACACACCAACACAGACCAGCACTTACCAGTACAGACATTATACATCAGCAGAGACCAGTACACTGTAAAAAATGATAAAACATGAGGTAATAATTGCTTGAATTGTTGTCTTATTTTTCCTCACTTTTGGCAGTGTATACATTAGGGCAGACCAGTTCACACTAGGACAGACCAGTACACACTAGTACAGACCAGTACACACTAGGACAGACCAGTACACACTAGGACAGACCAGTACAAACCAGACCAGAGAACAGCAGTACACACACAAATACAGAACTCAGAACACACTTGGGCAGTGGAAGTGTGTAGACGTGTTCCTTGGTGCTCCGCTGCTTGCTTCGCTTTGTAATCTCTTTTAATCGCTTTATTTACATTTTTATTCTACAAAACACGGATTACTCCTTCTGCAGACTTCAGCTTTGTGAAATTTGTCAACATTAATCATGTCCGGACGGAAGAAACGAAGACAAATCTGCGATGGCTGCTGCTCTCTGGAAAATGAGCTCAAATTTCTTCAAAAACGGATGGATATTTTGGAAACAGAAATGGGACTTAACCCGACTCTTCCAATGTGTGAAAATGGAATGAATGGACAGACTGGAAATGTAAGTTATGATGACGTAATTACTTTTCCCAAAATCAACAAAGAGAACTATTGGAATAAATGCGGCGCTAAACCCAAAGTTGACAAAGCTAAGAATGACAATGGGAGTGGAATTCTGCCACGAAATGTTTGCAAAACTTCAAATCGTTATGCTGCTCTGTTTGAAGAAGCAAAGCCACAGTCTGTTTCTCCCCCTCCGTCAAGGCCACGGTGTTTGCTGCTTGGAGATTCAGCCATTCGGAATGTATCTTTGAACTTTGCACACACTTATTCTTTGCACTCAGCCAGAGTGTCTGAGATAAGAGCTTTGGTGCCAAAAGTTTTATCTCAAACCAAGGATGTAAGTACATTGTTGATACACACAGGGGCAGTAGACATTTATGAGAAATCCACCGAGAAGTTGAGAAGAGATTTCTCTCTGCTGATGGATGACCTTAAAAAAATTGAGTTAAACGTGCTAATCAGTGGCCCCATTCCAAATGCAGATGGAAAAATCGAGAAGTTTAGCCGTCTGTACCAGTTAAATTCATTTCTACACAATGAGTGTTCACGCAGAGGACTTGGATTCATTGAAAACTTCAATCTGTTCTGGAATAGGCTCGAGCTCTTTGAAGGGAAAGGCCCACATCTGAACAAATACGGAGTAAAAGTGTTGATGGATAACTTTGCATCTGCCTTAAGACCTCAGCCTGCGCAGCGCGTTCAGCCGTTGAAAGAGAGGAGGATACAAAGGGCGAGACCCTCATGGAACCCAGAGGTTCGGCACCTCCACCGCCTCAAAAGAACTCAACACGTCCACCAGCATCATCATCAGCAAAGGATCCAGCACCAGCAGCAGCAGTGGCTGCCACAGCGTCATCAGCGCCTTCAGCATCAGCACCACCAGCACCAGCTGTGGCTGCTGCATCATCTTCAGCAGCACCTTCCCCACCTACAGCTCCCGTGAAGCCCCCCCCATTGCTACAGGCTACAGTCAGGCCTGCACTGGGGGCCTCTCAACCACCTCCGTCTCCACCAAAGACTCCCTCATCACCTTCCATGGACCCGGTTTGGGTCCCCCCCGCTACATCCACTCCATCTAAGGAACATGAGGACGACCTTTCCCTGTGTTTTCCATCACTATTGGATTTACCGGAACACTCTGCAGGCATGATAAGATCGGCGATGAAGAATATTCCTCTCACACCCACTGTAGCCAGATCAAGGGTCCTATCTAACATTCATAACTTCTCCCCATACGTACCTCCAAAGCCACCTAGGGCGTCCAACTCAAATTCTCCCACAAAATCCACCCGTCCCTCAAATTCTAACTCGAATTCACCCGCAAAATCCACAGGTCCCTCCCCTAACCCCAAAACCATTCCAGCCCCACCCCCCCCCCCCCCTCGTTTCCCATCACCAAGAACCCCTCCACCTCCACTCCCCCCTCGTCTATCTCCCAACTCCTGCCCCTCCCCTAACACCCATCCACCTCCAACCCCCCCTCGTCCAACACCCAAGAACCACCCACCTCTCCATCCTCCTCCCTCCTCTCCCTAGGATGCACAGGGTCTCTGCTTCGCAGCCACTGGCAGTCTAGTTAGAGGAGAGACCCGGCTGGGGCCCTGTCATGAAGCCACCTGTGCCATTCCCTTAGTGATAACACAAAGAATACATTACAGAAAGACATCTGGAGTTAATCAGTCTAATCTGGAAAATCTAATTCTTGTTCCGTGTAAGAATCAGCCGACCACAACCGCTGATACTGAAACTTTGAAACTTGCTATGCTAAATGTCAGATCTCTTTCTAACAAGTCTTTTTTAATCAATAATTTTATTTGTTCTTATAATCTTGATCTTATGTTCATGGCTGAAACATGGCTTGACCAAAATACAGAAAATGCAGTTTTAATAGAAGCATCACCACCAAATTTCAAATTTGAATCTGAAATACGGGAAAACAAAAAAGGAGGAGGCTTAGCTGCCATTTTTAGAGACCACTTTGTCCCCATAGAATGTCTCTTGGGAAGTTTCCGTCTTTTGAATATGTGTCTTTTAAAATACAACAAAAACAATCTCCTCCAATACTCTTCATAGTCCTATACAAGCCACCGCAGTCATGTCACAGTTTTATTGATAATTTTACCGAGTTGCTTTCAGTTGTATGCACAGATTTTGATAGTTTAGTTATTACAGGTGATTTTAATATTCATGTGGATAATGTTGATGACAGAAATGCAAAAGAGCTGAGTTCTTTACTTGATACCTTTGGTCTCACTCAGCATGTGAGTGGCCCCACCCACAGCAGAGGGCACACTCTAGACCTGTTAGTTACAAAGGGGGTGAATATTTCAAATATAAGCGTGGTCGATGTTGCTCTTTCAGATCATTTCTGTGTATTTTTTGACATGTGTTTCACTAACAAACCACCAGTGGACTCTGCAACTGTTCGAAGAAGACACATAAATGAAAATACAAGTGAACTATTTATGGGAATGATGAACTTTGAAAATGCATCGTATTCTACTGTAGATGAACTGTTTAACTCTGTCACCTCTAGTGTTTTGAATGTTCTGGATACCGTTGCCCCTGTGAAGGTTAAAATAGTGAAAAATAAGCAGAAGGCGCCGTGGGCTAAAGCAGACTCGGTCAGGGCACAAAAGAGAAAGTGCCGGAGGGCCGAGCGGAAGTGGCGCAAGTCCAACCTCCAGGTTGATTACAAGATCTTCAAAGATAAGTTGTGCGAGTTTAACCGGGTGCTACGTAGTACGAGAGAAAGGTATTTTTCTGAAATGATTGAAGGCTGCAGTAACAATCTGCGTGTTCTGTTTTCAACAGTTAATAGATTAACAAACCCCCCTGTTCAGATGCCATTAGAGCTAACTTCCAAACGTAAATGCAATGAGTTTGCACACTTTTTCAATGACAAGGTTCAAGGCATCAAAAACGCCATTGTCTCCAATCCACAGATAACAATCCAACAGCCAGAAAGGCTCTCTGAGCTAACTTACTTTGCACCTGTAGATGATAAAAATGTCCAAGAAATAATCTCCAGTTTGAGCTCCTCCACATGCAGCCTGGATGTACTACCCACTAGATTTCTGAAGTCTGTTCTGAGCAGTCTGTTACCGTCACTCACACAGATAGTAAACATGTCCCTTCATTCTGGAATATTCCCAAAGGCCCTGAAAACTGCAGTCATCAGGCCCCTGCTAAAAAAGAGCAGCCTGGATGCTACGGTACTTAACAACTATCGTCCCATCTCAAATCTGCCATTTATGGGGAAAGTCCTTGAAAAAGTTGTCTACCTACAGCTTACTAGATTTCTTATAATTAACAACTCATTTGATATGTTTCAGTCCGGCTTTAGACCCCACCACAGCACTGAGACTGCTCTTGTCAAGGTTACAAACGATATCCGGCTGAACACTGACGCAGGCAAAGTCTCAATCTTAATCTTGTTAGATCTGAGTGCTGCCTTTGACACCGTCGACCATGAGATCCTCTTACAGAGACTAGAGGACTGGGTTGGAGTCGCTGGCACCGCCCTAAGTTGGTTTAGGTCTTACCTTGAAGACAGGAAGTACTTTGTGGAGATTGGAGACTGTGTCTCAGATCATATGGCCCTGACCTGTGGAGTACCACAGGGGTCGATCCTGGGACCTCTTCTGTTCAATCTCTACATGCTGCCGTTAGGTCAGTTAATACGCAGAAACAAAGTGTCCTATCACAACTATGCAGACGACACTCAGATCTATGTCTCACTGACTGCAGGAGAACATGGACCAGTGGACTCACTCCTTCACTGTATCCAACAGATCAGTGAGTGGATGCAAAACAACTTCCTTCAGCTAAACGCAGACAAAACTGAAATGATTGTCTTTGGTCCCCAGAAACAAAGAGAGAGCGTCATCTGTCACCTACAGTCTCTCCCCTAAAACCTTCAAACAAGGTCAGAAATCTAGGGGTAATACTGGACTCAGACTTAAATTTTAATAGCCACATCAAATCAGTAACATCAGCAGCTTTTTACCATCTAAAAAACATTGCCAGGATCAAAAACATAGTGTCTAAAGCAGACTTGGAGATTCTTATCCATGCATTTGTCTCCAGTAGGTTAGACTACTGCAATGGCCTGCTCACAGGTCTGTCCAAACAGGCTGTAAAACAGCTGCAGTACATTCAAAATGCAGCAGCTCGAGTCCTGACTAGAACCAGGAAGTACGACCACATTAGTCCAGTCCTCAGGTCTCTGCACTGGCTTCCTGTGGCTCAGAGA